AAGAATTGAGCAAGAACATCGCTCACAGGAACCTCACATCGGCCAGAGCGGCTAATAAGCAAAGGATTGAGGGACCAACCTTTAAGAAGGGGGACAAAGTTTTCCTGTCACGACAGAACTTGAAAACTAAACGACCAAGCAAAAAACTGGATAACCTCCGAGTAGGACCATTTGAGATCCTAGAGGAAATAGGCACAGTAAACTACAAACTCCAACTGCCACCAGGCATGCGCGTCCACCCTGTCTTTTACAAGAAACTCCTGGAACCAGCACCTCCAGATGCCGAGCTAGCAACGGACATAGAGCTCGAAGACGACGAATACGAGGTCGAAGAAATTAGGGACCTGCGGAAAGTCGGTCGTCAGTGGAAATACTTGGTCAAGTGGCAAGGATGGCCGGAAAGCCAGAACACTTGGGAACCAAAAGAAAATTTGACGAACTGCAAGTCACAGGTACTTGAGTACCACCGGAGACACCCAGGGAAGCGAGGACCGGGTCCTCGAGGGAAAGGAAGTAATCAGAAAAAGGGTCGAAAGAAGCGTCAGCCTGTAACCAGCCCAAGTCAGTCGACGATCCGGGTAGCAGTGGTTCGGTTGCCAGAAGGTCCGTACCCGGGGCAGAGTCCCCCTCGGCCTGCTCTTTCGCACGATCCTGGAAATTCAGGATGGCAAGATCTCGATCAGCGTATGAGTGCTCTCGCGCCTCGACCTCTAGGAGCTCTCGGCGAACGCGAGCAGCCTCCTCTTCGATACGAGCCAACTCAAGGCGTTTCTCACGCTTTTCCCGCTGAACTTTCTCCCACTCTTCCTCGGAAACAAACAGACTGCAGGCCGCAGACACCGAAATGCAACCAGCACAACGGCCAGACGCAGTATCCACGAAACAACGAAGATTCTTCTCCTCACAACGTCTACAGCGAAAAGGCATTTCCAAATTCTGCTCCTTCACACGGTCAGCACGAGCACGGCGCTCAGCGGTCGAGTTTTGCGCACGGTTACGACGGACAGGCTGAACCTTGGGCATGGTCAGGAGAAGTGAGGAAAGGAAAGAAGAGGGGATACGACACCACAGGAACACCTAAACCTCCACCGCCGCCGCCGGACTAGGCGCGGGAAAACAATAATCCAGGGTATCGGGACGATACGCCTAAGAAGGGGGGTAATGTTACAAGGTAACAAGGAGTTGCTTCCTTTTGTTATGCAGGCCGCAGGAAGGAAGACCATCGGGATAGCCGCGATGGAAGGTCGCTGATCCAAGGCGGGGCCTGGGATCACGTGACGTGCCA